GAATGACTGCTGAAAGATTGCTGAATGACTGCTGAATGTTTGCTGAACGATTTCTGATCGACTGCTGAATGATTTCTGAATGACTGCTGAATGATCAATGGTTGCTGAAGGACTGCAACCAGTGAGAGGATGGGGAGTCCTGGATTGGATGGACTGAATCAGACCTTGTGGATCTGGATCAGGATCCGCTGACCCTTCTGAATGGTTAAGAACCAAACCCTCTGTTAAGCAAAATAAGCGCCGACTCGTCGCGGGTCTGTTGGTACAGTGACTGTATGTCTCCTGCAGCTGATGCAGCACTACAGGGTGGAGCCTGAGGACGGAGCTCCAGTCGTTCCGCCTAAAACCAGAACTCTACTCGTCCCGTCGAAGTCCATCAACCTGCGCTTCCTGTCCAGAGCCTGAAGGGTCAGAGGTCAAACACCTATTTTTGTGGAGTCAGAATTAATATTAACATAAAACCTGAAAGTTCAATATCTGAGTGATTTTAAACGCTGTCTGAATGTTTTAGTTGTTTTTTTTTCATTATTTTAAACCTGAAAATCGTGTAAATTATTTGAACCATAATGAAATAATAATAAAAGTCATGTCAGGTTTTTATTCCAGAGACTCAGTTTCATCTTTTGTGGATTAAATTAACCTAAAAAAAAATCCAACCATATAAAAAAACATCCATCCATCCATTTGGCTCTTTCTTTCTGAAGTTTTTGTTTTTTAATCATGTTTTGCCTCTGTCGTGTTTTTAATTATTCAAACAGTAGATTTTTATTCTCTATATAAGTTTTTGTGCTTACATGTTCAGGATGCTTAAAAAAATTGCACTGAATATCAGGAATTATAACGGTTGTTGTCATTTTAAGTGTTGATTTTTATGAAAATGATGAACTTCTGTCTAATTTTACAAACTGTATTCAAATCTTTCCTGACTTGTGTGAGAGATGCATTTCATTTCCACCACACCGACGTATTCACGACGTTATAACTCGAGGAAAATGTTTATTTTTTATTTTTTTATGGAGGTGTCTTTGCTTTGATGGAGGTGAATAATCACTAATAATTTTAGGTATTAAAGTCTCCAATGAAAACCATTTTTATTAAAGTTGGAAGCAGAATCAGAGATTTTCACTGTGCAAGAGCTAAATAACTGTAACGTTGTTTTTGTTTGTTAGTTTTTTATGTTTTTTTGGAGTAAATTCAAAGTGAAATGATGTTAGTTTTAAAGCGTTTGCTGTCTGCATGACTGAACTGGAGGAAAATAAACTTTATTTAGAGAAGTGGAATAAAGCTGTGGAAAAAAAGTCCAAACTTTGGAATTAAGATCATATGTTCTAGAATCTGTGCGGTCGGATTTTTAGTTTTGGACATTTGTTATGATGCGTAACCATGACAACAAGATGGTTTTTACCATAGACGTTCATACGTAGACGCCCCGTTGACTGGGTTGGCCCGCTGATGTGATGTAACGGTGTGTCCGCCATATTGGAGGAGTCAAAGCTGCGCTGTGAACTAATACAAAGAGGATTTTAAAGCGCATTTTAACGGTGAATTTTACGTTAACGGCCCAGCTTATTTAATTCACACACACAAAAGTTAATGGGAAACGGGTACCAAAAAAAATGTATTAAAGCTTCTTAGTTTAGTACAATAACTTTATTGATCCCACATATCAGTAAAGTAAAGTGTAGTGAAATGTGGGGGTCAGCTTCACTACTAATTAATTATTCTTAAAGCTAGTTCAAGCACGAAGAATATTAATTATTTAAATACAACGGGTTCTTTCTTTTTCGAGTTAAATTAATGCCATGTGACCAAGATGACTGTGAGGATTGTTTAATCAGTGACATGAGACGCCATTTTCCTTTGACCCATCAGAATCAATGCGGTCATTTATTTAACAGAATCAAAATTTAACATCAAAGCATGTACACATTGATTTGCTGATCTGGTTCTGATTAATAAAAACTTGGCACGCTTTACTAACAAGACAACAGAACATTTCTGAAGGCATCTAGATTGATTTACTGGCAAAATAGAAAAGTTTAAAGGAAGGAATGGAGACGTTTAAAGAAAGGTGGATGGAGGAAGATGTATGTTGTTGACCAGAATTAGCACGCTCCTTTCAACACCAGCTCAAACCCCTTGTACACTCGGTGCATGACGACTCGTTACCTTTGTAGAAGATAAATCAACTCCGGTACAGAGGTCCATTTCAACACTACCTTTCCAGCGTCTCCGGTCAGGGTGGCTGGCATCGTCAGAAGTCGTGACGATTTACTCCGTCCAACAGACAAGCTTCCTTCGAAGTTGTAGGGCGTTACGCCCGGGTGAGTTCAAAGCGAGGCGCTGTGACTCAGTCCGAGAGTCCACTCAGAAGTGGAAGACTCCAAGAAGACTCCATGAAAGACTGAGTTAGACTCCGGTCAAAGAATCAAGAGTCGAGAAGACTTCGAAGACTGACTAGTTCCAGGAAGTGTTGACTTTTAAAGAGTCCTCACTTCCGGTCACTTAGTACTTCCTGATTGGTTGAAACAACCAACAGGGGGGTGTTCTAGAATTGCGCCGCTCAAGGTGGCTGCATGTTGGAGCAGCTCTGTTACTTTCATTCTGAGATTTTGCTTTTGGAAACTGTGATTCCTCTTTTTCTGGATGTGGGTTGCATTTTTTTTGGATGGTGGTTTCCTCTGGTATCAGATGCTGTGCAGCTGGAAGGATTTTTACTGAAACTGTTTTAGTTTTGGACATTTGTTATGATGCGTAACCATGGCAACAAGGCAGTTTTCTACAACCAGCAGCTGATTAACATCTCAAAAGCTCAAATAATATCTCAACTACAGCCCCAAATCTCAAATGAGTTGAAAAGGATGTTCTGTGGATGCATTCTCATCTACCTGCCAGTTGTGCTCAAGTGTCTGACCACTGAGATCCTGGAACTAGCAGGAAACACGGCTCATGACAGCGGAAGGACAGGATCATCCCTCGGCACCTACAGTTGGCTGTCCGCAGTGAGGAGGAGCTCGGCAGACAGCTGGGAGGAGTGGCTATCGCTCTGGGAGGAGTTCTGCCCGGCATTCGGGCGGTCCTACAGCCCGGGGAAACCGAGAGGCCAGTCGAGTCTGGGTGGACGGATCAGACGGCATCTGCAGCCAGTTTCTTAGGATCCACTGTGGGATGGACCTTTACAAGAGATCCTTCCTGCCTACAGCCATCAGCATCTATAACATCTCTTAATGAAACGAGGATAACGAGTTACTACAACAAATAATTTCCCTCTGGGATTAATAAAGTATATTTGAATTTGAATTTGAATTTGAATTTCAGTGATGTCAGAGGGTTATTAAAAGTCAAGAGAGGCTGCAGGAATGTTTAGGAATGATTAGTACAGACAGAGAAATGTTATGGCGAAGTGAGACAAACACAGATGCCAGTTGAATTTATTTACCGTCTGCTAGGTTTAAAAACAAGCCACTTCGTTCTAATAACTCGTTTTCCGACAGTCTCTGACTTTCGACCGACATCAATACTTCTCATTCAGACAGAAGATCAAAATGCATAATTACTTTGTAAATAGACATTTAAAATGATCTCTAAGTCTAATGAGGTTTAAAAATCATTAATACTGTTTCACAGTTGATTTAAAATGAGTGGTTTACTTTCAACATTAGAAATGACATGAACTAAACACGCTTTTGATTATCAAGATATTGTAAAATAGTAATGATAATATAAAAAGAAGAGTGTTCTTTCAATTGATTAGTTCAGGATACAATTAGACAGTCTCTGGATGAGCTAATTTGTATTTCTGGATTCAAATCAATGAAATAACAGTTCCTGTCCCATGAAGGTCTTCAGAGACAGGTTGTGGTCGGAGGCCTAGTTCACTACAAAAGCAAAAAAACAGTGTATGTTACACTTTAATAATATATGAATAACAATAAATGTGGATTAACCCCCCTCCGCACACAAGAAATAAACATCTTATTTTCATTTATTTTTTTGGCCATTTGGAGGCAACAAAAATCATTTTAAACACCACACATACACACAGGTTATGTACACCTTCTATTATTATTAGATATAATACCATGAGCAGACTAAAGTAAACACCAGGTTGAATGAATGAATGAAAATTAAACGAATAAATAAAAAATTTTTCATAACGTTGACAAGTACACTTCGAAAACACTGTTATAATGGTGAAAATTATGCAGACTATGGCTGAAAAACGATCAAGAGACTTGTTGAAGCAGCACACGCACGAGACGTTTGACCGTCTCCGTTTTCCCCCTGACTCCACCAAGATGGCGCCGACGTAGGAACGCCGTTCGACGTCCAACGGGGTGTCTACGTATTAATGTCTATGGTTTTTACCACCAGGAGCAGTTGACTAACATCTCAAAAGCTCAAATAATACCTCAACTACAGCCTCAAATCTCAAATGAGTTGAAAAGGAGGCTCCGTGGATGCATTCCTGTCTCCCTGCCGGCCGTGCTCGAGCTTGACCATTGAGATCCTGGAACTGGCACTAAACACGTATCTTGACAGCAGAAGGATCGCAATCGTCCCTCGGCACCTGCAGCCGGCTGTCCGCAGTGACGAGGAGCTCAGCAGGCTGCTGGAAGGAGTGGCCATTGCTCTGGGAGGAGTTCAGCCCAGCATTAGCGCAGTTCTGCAGCCCATGTGACCCAAGAGGCCAGCTGAATCTGGGTGAATGGATCGGATGGCTTCTGCAGCCAGTTTCTTTGGATCCGCTGTGGGACGGACCTTCCTTCCTACAGCCATCAGTATAACATCTCTTAATGAAATGAGGATAATGAGTTACATTTAATTTCCCTTTGGGATTAATAACGTATTTTTGAATGTGATTATTATTTACTAAATGATACAATCAACATGAAAAACAGTCTAAAATATAGTTTATTTTATAATTATTGTATTTAAATCAATTGTAGGCGACACGGTGGCTCCGGTATCTGGTTTCCTTCCACACAGCGAGAAGGTCACTGATTAACCCTAACAGACAGGAAGGAAGGAAGGAAGGAAGGAAGGAAGGAAGGAAGGAAGGAAGG